TGTGTGTGTGGTGGTGTGGGGCGTGTGCGGAGAGTGAAGGGGCGGAGGGGCGAGGGGCGTCGGGGCGGGCGGAATGGCACATGGGAGCGTGGATAGAGCGAGGGCAGGCCAGCGCTGGCGGGCCCCGGGGGCGGGGGAAATGGGGGGGTGGGGAAGGGGCTTAGAGCAAAGTGTGGGCTGTGGGACCAAGAGGACCCCGCGAGTGCGACCGCGGAGGAGCGCAGGAAAGAGAAGGGGTGGTGTTTAGAAACACCGGGGGAGGAGTGCGCCACGCACCGTCGGACGGGCGCGACGGGGCGGACTGGCGCATGTTCCGGCAATCGACGCTGTGGGGCTCGTCGCCCTCCTGGATCGCGCCACGGGGCGAGGCGTCAGGAGTCGGTAGCACGGACAGGGAGGGGGCGAGGGGCGAGGGCCATGTACAAGGGGGGAACGGGGGGGTGCAACATATACATGCATATGGCTCACGCCGCACCTCGCCGCCGCCCGCTCGCCGCTCCGCGCCGCTTGACTGGCGCTGCCCCTCGGCGTCCGCCGCGTCCTCCCCGCCGCCCACTGGCCGCGGCAGGCGGCCCCCTTGGGCGGCCTCGCTGGAGCGGTCTTGCAAGGCGACGGCGCCGTGCTTTTGCGGGGAAGAGTTGGCCTCGTCGCCCCCGGAGGAGGGGTGCAGCGTCGCGTGAAAGGGGCAAGGGACGCCGACGGGCGCCTCCTCCGCCACCTCCGCCTGCACCTCCGCCGGCCCCGACCCCGCGCCCGCCGGTGCCTCCTCCATCTCCGCCGCTGCGCCCGCGGCACTCGACGGCGTTGACTCATGCAGAGACGCGCCTGTGTAGTAGAGGACGGGCTCGAGCGGCTTCGACGGGACGTCGCGCTCGGCGTCTGGCTGCGGCTTGGGGTCCCCTTCCTCCTCCCCCCCCTCCTCGAGGAGCAGGCGGGAAGAGTCTTGGGCGCCGGGCGCCGTCTCGCCGGCCGCCGGGGACGAAACGGCACTTGCGGGCGGCGTCACGGGCCTGGCCGTCGCGGGTACGCGAGCAGGCACGCCCCTCGCCTCGCCCAGCCGCAGAGTCTCGTCTAGCTTGCCAGCTAGTCGCCACAAATCTTTCATTACAGGAAGATTGCCGGGCGATATTCCTAGCTCCTGCCTGAGGCCAAATAGCGGCGGCGCACTCAACTCATTGTCTCGAGCTCCTCGTGGTGGTTATCCTTTGGCCGCGTTGGGTAGCGAGCTTTGGTGTAACCCGAGCCACGGAGGCGTGTTTTCTATTGTTATATTGAAGAAAATACGTAGATGCCGCTGTGCGCTGGTCTGAGAGAGGTTGAGGTGCGAGCCCTGGAGGCCCTGGGGATGGGTTCACAGCTGTTGAGCGCTGTCAGCGCGGTGTTTCGACACCGATATCGTTCAAAAGAACGCTGTTCAAAATCGTGACGCTGTTCACGCTTCTTTCTCTCGCTTCACAGGTAAGTAAATAAAGCGGAGCAGCTGCAGCTAAACCTTTGTGTTCACACCTGCACGAGGGTGTGAACAATAACGATTTCGGCCTTAGCCGTCGGCATGCCAATAGCGTGCTAGCCAAGTAGTACGCACTTGGATTCCGAGGGTGTCCCATCACAAGTTCGGCTGTCGACAGACACGAGTGTCCCTTAGTCGACAGCACCCGCCTTTGGACGGTGCTCTGACTGCTTTCGATTATATATTTTTGTCTTTTTGGTTCGCACGGCTAGAGGTTGGCCTCCCACCGTTGTGAACCTAGTCTTGCCCGAAGGAGCCGCTCGTCTCTTGTCGCTCCGGGCAAACGCGCGCCCGATCGCCCCATTCAGCACGTGTGAAGGGTATCCGAGCGCCGTAAACTCCTTGAGCTTGCTCGTCACGCTGAGCGTGAATCCCTCGTCATCGCTCGCCATCGCGAATGCTTCACGTCTGGAGGGTGCCCCCGCCCTTTTCTCTGGGTGGGTGGTGTCGGCGCTCCAAGAGTGTGGCGCTCTTGGGAAGAGGTTCCTCCTTTCCCCCCGCAAGGCGAGAGAGAGAGACACACACACAAACACAGGCGGGCCCAAGACGCATAAGCACAGACAGTCGAGAAGGGAGTCCAGCGACAGTCAGAAGTCAGCACTGCGTCTCCCAGCAAGGCGAATGCGACGACGGCCGTCTTGAGCGCCCTCTCCGGGTTGGGGTGTCCTCGATCGTGAGGTACGCAGGCCTTTTTCCTTTTGAGCTAGCCTTCGATGGTATGACACAAACGCAAGGCGGACACACACATGCCACATCGCTCTCGGGCCCACAGACATCCCGCACACCCACCGCCCCCGCTGGGGACACCCAGAAGCACTAGAGGGGGAGGACGGCTCGTACTAGGGCTCGTAACTGAGGTTCGCTGTCAGCGGACAGTCCTCCTCCCCTCCTCGGCCATTCCAACGGCCAGGCCGCTCGCTTAAGGCTGATTGGCTAGACGCGCGGCCTACCTCCATGGGGCTCTTGGCACGGGGGGAGATGTCAATCACGCTCCCGGGACGCCGGAGAGATCGGGTTGGTCTCCCCCGCCTTCAGCCCTGACACCCGACGCTCGGGAACGCCATTGTAGATCCACAATGCTGTCTTAAGGTCCGACCTGTGGGCACCGCCTGCGCTCGGCACCGGGCACCGCCTCGGTATACAAAATGCGCCTGCGGGGCGGACCCTCACAGATCACAGCTCACAACTGACCATCGTCCCTCCGCCCCCCGGCTTTTTTCTCTGTTTTCTCTTTGTTGCTTGCTTTCTTTCTTTCCCCCGAGAGGGTGGTTGAGCTGTCGAGCAGCCACATCATACACCGGCGGCGGCTTCTATCTCTTCACCGGCCTCGCTCAACCGCACGAACGCGCTCTCTCTCTCGACTGTGGGTGGTTGAAGACACGTAGACACTGTACACATATATGCGCGCAAGTCAACTAACCGCCCTTCTCCTGCTCAATCAACCCACGAGAGGCACGCTGCAAGCCCGTACCCGCGTCATCAAGCCATGCACATTCATCACGCTGTTCAAAACCGCACCCGCACGCCGCCAATTGCGCCAAAAGTTCTTAGTTCCAACATTCACCGCCTCCTGCGCGACAACGACCTGATAAGTGCATCGTGAACGCCAACTTGGCACCAACCCGATGCGCGACGTATCAAGATCGCCTTCGTGGCTCATCGCAAGACCTTTGTTGTCACAACCAGATCTTGAGTTGGACGGGGGCCAACACTTGACAGCTCTGCGAGCAGCTGGCAGGCGGGGGCGCGAGGCCGGCGCCAGAGGAAGAAGCGGAACGATAGCGTGGGCATGGCGGCTGCGTAACGACAGCGTCTCCACCCCAGCTGTACGTCCCGCAGACGCCGAATCGCGTGTGCGCGCTGCTCGGGGCCGTGGGAGGTCTGTGTCGCACGCGTGTGCGACCCCGATGGACGTCCCGTTCGATACGACTGTCTGTATGAGTGTACAGGAAAGTAAAGGATGGGCGGGCGCTTCTGCTCGGCTCCAGCGAGTAGACAGGACAGGTGTTCTCATCACAGAGTAGAAAAAAATTGTTCCAGTCTTAGCCAGCAAAAGGGAGCACACACGACTTAGCAAGTCCGCACTAGCGACTGCCACTCGCCTAACTAACCATGCCTTGTGACAAGTTGTCACATAAGTGCTCTCCCATCACAGAGTAGAAGGACCTGACCTCGGGGCCTCGATGTGAGCCCAAGCGCTGGAGACTGGTATATCGACTATCGTGATTTTACCTCACACCCATTGCTACATACCGCGGACCCGAGCGCGTGACGGCCGTGCATCCCGCGTGCCATGTCCATGGATTGTAACTAAGCGCGACGAGTTTCACGTTCTCTCGTCATGCTTTCAGCCTCACTGCTCGCATTGTGCCTCTTCGCTGCGGCTGGCTCTCACCCCGACACGTCCGCGGCGGGCGCAGCGGCCCGCTGGATGGGGTACAGCTCCTGCAGCTCCGACCGGATCCCGAGCGAGTAGTGCCCCTCCTCCGTCTTGGCGAGCCAGCCTCCCGCCGATAGCTGCTCGAGGCAGTCCTCCGTCTCGTCCATGCTCATCTTTCCGCCCTTGAGGTCGAGCCGCACGTTCTGCGCGTCCGTCGCGTCGACCGCCTTGCCCTCGGACGCCTTGATCGCCGCGACGAGCATGTGGAAGAACTCGCGCTGCGGCTTGCCGAGGCTACTGCCGACACCAGCCTCGTCGTCGCGGAGGTTGACCACGCCATAGTAGAGCACCCCCTGCAGCTTCTTCTGGGCGACCTTCATCCCGAGCGGCTCGAGCTCCGGGCCTGTCGCGCGGCGCGGGGCGGGCTTGGCGAACTCACCGCCGCGACCTGGAGCCGATCGCTGCAGCGCGCACGCGCGCACGGGCGGCGGCGGCGCGCACTGATCTCCTCGAGTAGAATCTTGCGCGCCTTCTCGAGCTGCGCTTCGTCTGACCCAGAGACGTTCACCTTGTTAGCCTTTGCGTCCTGGGCGTGTGCCTCCACACACGCTCGGCACTGCGCGAGCATCTCCGCCTCGCTCATGAAGCCGTGGTGGAGCATCAGCTGGAGCAGGTTCTGCGCAGCGGGAAATGGAGGTGAGCGCAACGGCCGGGCGGCGCCTCGCAGATGGCGGGAGCGCACCCGGTGGACATCGCAGTACCGCTGGGAGGAAACCATCTATCACAGCGCGCTGGGCACACAAGCGCGCTCCCGCCCTCTGGAAAAGAATTCTTATCGCGTAGCAAGCTGCCCCTCCCTCCCGACAAATTCCGCACACACGCACACACACACACACACACACACACTCGCACCTGGGTACCCGAGGTAGGCGGAGAACGCCCAAGCGATGCAGATGCACTGTGTGTGCTAACGCTGATCGCTGTCACTAAACACAGCTCACAGCACACAGGTACACACGCGACGCGGGAGGGGCGTGCAGGGCGAGACGATCGGGATCGAGGAGTCCCGTACCGCATGCGATGCGGCAAGCCATGCGCAATCGACCCCCTGTGCCCTGACACCCCAAAGCCAAACGACCAATCCAGTGCAGGCTCATTGCTCAAATGTGCTTTTGAAGGTTCACACAAAGCCGTAAAAAGTACCTCGCACTATCTATGGTCTATGCCGCGGTTTACGCGCGGGAGCTGCCTAAAAGGCAAAAGCGCACCAATCAGGCAATCTCCTTGCGAGGAAGGCCGTTAGGTACAAAGAAACGCGGGATAAGGTGCGTTCCGCCTTCCCGATTTCCGCGTTCATTTTTTGGTTATAGTAGAGTTTGCGGCCAGGGTCTCTCTTTCTTTCAACACCCGTCCTAAGGCACGAAGTCGCTCTCTCTCTCTCTCTCTCTCTCTCTCTCTCTCTCTCTCTAGTGCTCGATAATGCATCCGTCTAGTGTGTGTGTGTGTGTGTGTGTGTGTGTGTGTGTGTGTGTGTGTGTGTGTGTGTGTGGTGTGTATAGATTGTCGCGAGCGGAACCCTCGCGTGTCGCCGAGAGCAGTGTTGTCCTCGCTCCTCTACTCCGTGTGCGTGGCATCGCCGGCCTGCCCCCCGAGCAGCGCCATCACCTGGAGCGAGGCAAGCGGGGCGGGTCAGCACGCGCCCGGGCACTCGTCTCCCGGTGGGACAGGGGGGTGCGGGCGCCTCCGCAAACGACGCGTCGGCTATCGCGGCGAGCAGCCGGACTGGGCGAGCGGCGGCCGCGCCCTCGCCTGCCGCCAGAGGGAGGTGCAGGTGTGTGATCAGTGAGGTGTGTGTGTGGAGCCAGAGGGGGGGTGGCGGGTGAGCCTAGGCGACGCGGAGGCGGGGAGGAGTGGGGCGCTTGCTCACCGCACAGCAGCCTGCCGACCGCGAGCAGCGCCGCCTCCCCGCTCGCCAGCTGTCCGGCCGCCTCCTCCTCCGCGAGGTGCGACTGCGAGGGGCGGGCGCATTTGGGGAGGGACGAGGGAGGCGCTGGCACTGGCTCTGGTCAGGTCCGGGAAGGTGTGGGCCCTGCCTCAGCGCGCGCGCCTCGACATGCCGCAACACAGCCGCGAACCCCCTCGCGCCCACGTACACGGCGTCGCCCGACAGCCGGTGCAGCTGCTGCCTCGCCTGACGGAGCGGCGGCGGCGGCGGCGGGCAGGTCGGGTTTTCAGCGAGGAGAGGGATGGCCTTGGAGGCGGTCGGCGCGCCTGTCCCCCGTCGCGCAGCAGCCTCTCGATCGTCGCAAGCGTGTCGTGAACTGCGGGCGGGGAGGGCGCGGGCGCGGCACTTGAGCCACGCAGACGGTGCGTCCGGCGCGTGTCCTAATCGGCTGGGGCAGGAAGCGTACCCGACTGAAAGAAGGGCTCGATGAGCGGCAGGACATCCTCTGCTGGCAAGCCCTGCAGGTGGTCCAGCGAAACCAGCGGGTCAATAAGTTCACCCCAAGGGGGGTTGAATTGCCCTCCCCATTTTTTTTCGGGGGGGGGGGAAATTTTTTCCCCCCCGGGGCCCCCGAATCCAGGGGCCCAATACCCAAGCCCCCAAATCCCCCTAAGGTTGGGCCCCAGGGGAACCCAATTGGGGAGGGCTCGTTGGCCCAAAGTTTTTTTGGGGGAAAACCGACCGAAAAACCAACCGAAACCCCCCCAATTTTTTTTTTTTGGGGAGGGGTGGGGGGGAAACCCCTTTTGCAAAATCCAGGGCCCCTTTCCGGCCGGGGGACCCTTTCTTTTGGGGGGAGTTTTGCCAAGCCCCCCCCCCCCCCCCCCCCCGTGTCGCGATGCGCTCCCCGCTCACGTTCCCCTGTGTCCCTGATCGTCTCTCTCCACCTATCATCCCAACTCCTCGGGCGACCGCGCGGCTGCGCTACTCACAGGCAGTCTCCCTGCCTCAGCTGTTACAGGCACCACCCACCGACCAGTCTCGACGACGAGCCGCGGCAGGGCTCGCTGCGCCGCTGCACAGCTTTACGCCACAACACAACATATCAACCAACGTAACCTCCCCCTTAGTGACCCACCCTTGCGGGCTCAGTTGCCGCATTAGGAGCCTTCGCACCGCGAGTGGGCTCAGGTGGGATCCATGGAGAGAGAGGTTCCATACACAGCCGCACTCTACACACCTTACCCCCTCTACTCGGGCGGCATCGTGGTGAGACCCTGGGCAGTCAGAGAGGCTGACAGTAAGTGGCGGGCTGAGAACTCGGGCCTCTCCCGACCCGCCATCGCTGCCTAAGGGAGGATCCTATCGGCCACTAGACCATGACAGATCAGAGGCGCACACGCCCTGTCCCAGCTCCCCCACTCCTCACACTGGGTTTGCAGTGCGCGGCCTCGCCACCTCCCTACCAGGGCAAACCCCCTCTCTCCCCCTAGGTGCTGCACTTGACGTCCATAGAAGGCGCGCGGCAGAGGCGGGAGGGAGGCGGGGAGAATCTAGCTCGCTCTGGCAGGGAGGCAAGGGTGTGATAGAGTGTTTGGGTGAGAACAGGCGGAGTGTGTGTGCCTGTACGCGATTGGGAGAGCACTTGTGACAAGGCATGGTTAGGCGAGTGGCAGTCGCTAGTGCGGACTTGCTAAGTCGTGTGTGCTCCCTTTTGCTGGCTAAGACTGGAACAATTTTTTTGAGTGCGGTACGTAGCGGTCCCGGTATGTAGCGCGACCCCCGCTACATATCGTCCGGTGTATTATGTAGATCGGTCCGGGGCGGTACATATCGGTCGGCGCGCTACATACCACCTCCGGAGGCGATATGTAGCGCTCGGGATATATATCGGTCAACGCCACGGTGTGAATTCCTTCCCACCCACAAAGCACATATCGCCTACCGACAGTGTGTCACACGGCCCCGGGCGCCCGGTCGGTGTCCGGTGTCCCGGGCCGCGCGCGAAGCAATTAGAGATTTTGTGGTGTGCTGGTGCGTGGTGGGCCATGGACGATCAATCCTAGCTGACTTCAGAAGAGCAAACTCGCACCTCTCTGAGTCGCAGCACGGTGTACACCCACGCGTCATCCACACGACATCACACAAAAAGCGCCGTCACGTATCGATCGCGCGATGGGCGCTTGCCGAGGCCGGTCGCGTCGTAGATTGCGTCAATCCAGCGCATGTTCTCGACCGAGTCGGCCGGCGTGATCGGGAAGCGCGACCTGCCCCTGACGGCAGCCGCAAACGCGGCGAGCTGCAGCTCGAAGGTCGGCGCGCCGTCTCCGTAGACGCGCTCGGTGCGGGCGGGTGCGCTGTCGGGGTGGACGGAGAGCGCGTGGTAGATGTGCGGGAAGAGGTAATTTGTGAGCGAGAGGGAGCCGCGCGAGGCGGTGAGATGGACGTTGAAGCCAATGGAGAGCGCCGAGGAGCGCAGCACCGCCGTCACCCCCTTTGGAAAGAGGAGCGTCGCGCTGGTCCCGAGGTCGGCGCGCGAGCCGTCCACATCCTCCACCGCGGAGGCGTTGAGCAGGCGCAGCGGCTCTCCGAAGAGGTACCTCGCCACGCTGACCGTGTAGCATCCCTGGCCCATGAAGTTGCCGCCGCCGAGGGAGACGTCCATTTTGGCGGGAGGAGGGCCCTCGGGTCGCTGCAGCCGCAGGGCGGAGCGCCCGGCGGAGAAAAGGGCGTCCGGGCTCGGGAGCCCAGCCGTCACCTCCAGCGAGGTTGGCTGGCCCAGCTCGCCGCTCCGCATCACCTCCTTCAGCCGCGAGGCGATCGGGTGGAAGCGCCAGTGGTAGGCCTCAGCGAGCACCAGCGAGCGGCTCTTTGCGAGCCGCGCGAGCGATCGCGCCTCGGCGGCGTTGGACGCGATCGGCTTCTCGACGAGCACGTGCTTGCCTGCGCGCAGCGCGGCGGCGGCCCACTCGTAGTGCAGCCCGTTGAGCAGCGGGAGGTAGACCGCCTCCACCTCCTCAAGGCCGAGCACGGTGGAGTAGGTGCCGTGCTTTTGGATGCCCCACTGCTTCGCGAGGGCTGCAGCGCGCGCAGCGTCACGCGCTCCAACAGCCACAACGCGCACTGCACACGGCAGCCGCGAAGCGGGATGGAGCAGGCCGAAGGGTGCGATCTTTGCAGCACCGAGGAGGCCGACACGGACCGGCGAGGCGTCAGCGTCAGTGCACACCGATCCAGGCGTCAGCATGCGGACGACGCGCTGCCACACGCCTCGTAGGCTGTATGCCAGTGCCGCAGCCAATAATGCTGCCACCAGCAGGCGCGGCCGCAGCATGCGGTGCCCGTTCTTTGCCACCAAAGCGTGTCTTGACTTCGCGCCGCTGGCTCCGGCGGCCGCTGTATCGAGAATATCTCTCCCCGAAGAGGTCTCGGGTGCTCGAGGGGGACGCGTTGGGTCTGTGAGGGCTCGCACCTCAACCTCTCACAGACCAGCGCACATATTTTCTTCTCAATAACAAGGCTGTGAACCCCCCCCATCCCGGCCTCGGCACCTCACTCAACCTCTCATGGACCAGCGCGCAGCGCCATCTGACGTATTTTCTTCTCATGTTCTCAATAACAGGTCTGTGAGCAGAGCTTTTATACAGGCTGCAGGGAGCAACTCGAGAAGTCGAGATTCTCGAGAGTTCACGCGGAGTAGGCTGGGGCTATACCAGATACGACTCGGGGGCCGCGCTGAAACACCGAGATAAGAATTTTCTCCGCACGCTCGGTGTGCACAAAAACATAAACTCTTCCAATCAAGAACACAAACGCAGAACTTCGCCTCGCACTCACGCGCGATGGAAACACACAGGAAGGAACCCCCCCACACTTTTTCTTTCCTCAACGCGCGAAACGCGTCTCACCGGGTCGCACCGGCAACATCCTACACAGGCAACATGCCGATCGGCGGAGGATGAAGATGGCGCGGATGGCTTGTAGGCTTGTACAGAGCCTAGGGCGCTATAGGGGCGACACGCCAACATGATCACGTAGGCTATGGTTTTTAGACGATGATGTGCGCGCATGACCAGGGCGTCCCATGCCCACGGCGGATCGCCTCTCTGCGCTCAGCGGTCGACGGCAACACTCTGCATCTTTTAGCCAAACGCGAAGCCGCTGAGGACGCTGTGCCACACGTCCCCCCTCCGCACGCACGCGATGTTGCTCCAGGCGCGGAAGTGCTGATAGCGGTCGTCCCAGCAGCCGGTCAGTCTCCACAGGCGCTCGTGCCCCGCCCAGTAGCAGTCCATCCCGCTCGATTCGAGGCTACCAATCACGTCCCGCAGCGAGGCGGAGGCCCAGTGTCCGATCGCGTGGTACTCAAACTCGAGGTAGCGGACCCGGGTGAGCACATCACGCGCTCCCTCCAGCACGAGAGCGTCGTGGCCCTCGGCATCCGTCGTCAGGATGTCGATCACGCTGCCGCCAAGCGCCAGCCGTTCCGACTCCACGAGGCTGTCCACTGTCCGTAGCCGGACTGAGACCACCGCCACCGGAGCATCGGCGGGCCGCTTCGCTCTCCGGTCTGGCGCTCGGGTGTTGTAGTCGATCCCGACATCCTCCCGCCCGGCGTGCGCAATAGCGGGGAAGTCAGCCGTCTGGCGTTCTGCCGCCATGGCTGGCGAGGTCATCGCTGCCTGGACCACCCGGAGGGCAGCGCCGCGCCCGCCACCGCGAGGGGCGTCGAATCCGAGTTGAGCGGCGGTTCGGTTGATGAGCGCTATGTTGGCGGGCAGCGGATCGACGCATACCACCGTTGGCCCCCTCGACGGGGCCATTGTGGGTGTGGGAGTGCCTGTGGCTGGTGGCGCACACGCCCGGCAACGACCACAGCCAACGTGCTGGGCGCGCAGTGCGTCGGACCATTCGCCGAGGAGGGAGCGTGTCGCACTGCCGGCCGGTCCTCGCGTCCAAAGGTCTAGAAAACGCACCGCGTCGTATCCCTTGTTGCAACCGACCACAACCACAGTCTTTGCGGGCCGCGAGTCGGCGTCACGCATGAGCTTCACCCACGCGCTGCGAGGGCAGTGGGTCTGGCGCAGGTTCTGGAAGAAGTTGTCCGCGATGGCGCTGGCGTTGCACGATGGAGGGTTCTGTGCCATCATGTCGATCGCACAAGGTGTCTCGCGCAGTGGGGCGGCCCCGGCCTTTCGGCAACGGAAGTCGGAACGAACGGCAATCGGACACGCTCAAGACTTGACTCTCTTGACCTGCTCTTGACTCATCAAGTGAGCACTTGAGCACTGCGCTGGATAGGGTCAATTCCGCATGGTACGGGACCCCTCGATCGTCTCGCCCTCCCTCGCTACGTGTGTTCATTGGGGTGCGGGTGGGTGGGGGTCATGTAACAAACTCAAAGAGTCTTGAGAGTGTCAAAAAACGTTGAAAAGAGTCCTTGACTCTCTTGAGTCTTGTCTGATGTCGTCGTCGTAGTCAGTCTCGACCAAGGCGGAACTGCGCTCGCACCTTGCATTTCTACAACCGCAGAAAAACCGCCTCTGCGCGCCTCTGCGCATTCACCGTGACGCACGCCTGAAAGTCGGTTGCACGCGGGTTGCGCGCTTTGCACGCCACCTCTGCTTGCGCCTTGCGTCGCTCGAGACAGCGAACGAGCGCAGCGCCAGAGCTCTTGCGGCGACGTCCCGGCCCTCTAGAGCTTGCTCGCCGGCGCGGACGACCGCGCCACTTGCGAAGAGCGCTCGACGAGCGTAGCGAGCGTCTACGAAACACGTGGGATAGGGTGAGGCGCACGGGCTTGCGCGCCGACGAGTCGCTGCGCAGCGCAGCGCCTGCGCTGCCGCGGCGATCTCCCGCGCGACCTGCGCGGCGGGCGGCCCCTTCCCCTTCCAGCTGCTCACGGTGCACTCGACGCTGCTTGCAAAGAGCAAGTAGCCGACCCCGATGCCGGTCGGGCACACGGGGCCGAAGGAGAAGGAGGCGACGGAGGGCTGGCGCGCGCCCGAGGTGGAGATTGTGCTTGCCGACACCTCGGACCAAGCTTGGTGCAGGAAGAGGGCGGGGGTGGGGGCGCCGCTCGACGCGGAGAGTGCATACAGGGCGAGGAGGTGGCGCTCGTGCCCGTGGCCTGCCGAGAGAGAGGGAGGGGAGCGGGGTCGGGACGCGGCCGAATTGCGCGGCTCGCCTCCCCCTCCGGCCAGAGAGACACCTCGCTGGCAATCCCGCACCACCTCGCGGTGCGACCGGACGGCAGCCGCGAGCAGCTCTGGCAGCCGCGGCGAGGCCTCGTCCCGCAGCAGCTCGGCGACGAGCGCCGCCTATCGCGCGTCGCACCGAGAGGCTCGCCGGCCGAAGGCGGGCGGCGCTGCGGCGGGAGGGCGCTGGCGGCGGGCGGGCGAGCGCCGTCTCGGACGTGACTGACCGGATCACCTCCGTGCGGCCGTGCGAGAAGGCGAGCGTGGAGCAGGCCTGGTGTAGTCAGCCATCGATGGTTCACTCACGAACTCAGTCGAGGGCGAGCGTGGAGCAGGCCTGGTAGACGGAGCGGAGGCCGCCCTCGTCGAGCCGCGCCCACGCGAGCTGGACCGAGAGCTGGACGAGCGAGTCGAGCGGCGCACCGTGCGCCTTAGCCCACTCCGTGCCGAGGCAGCCCACAGAGAGAGGCGCCAGCTCGAGGGCGGCGTCGCGCTCGGCATGCTGCGCCGCGGCGGCAGAGACGGCGGAGCTGAGCGGAGGCGGTAGGCGCCACTGGAGGAGAATGGCCTCCTGCACGAGGGAGGGACAGGCCGCTGGGAGGGGGGAGAGGGGGAGGGGGGGGGAGGGGAGGGGAGGGTTGGGGAGGGAGGTAAGGCGGGGGGGGGGGGGGGGAG